CTTGACATGAGTCGCTCTTCCATGTGCTCCTTGCTGTGAAGGCCAGTTATAGACTGGGAAAGTGGCCATTTTTTGTATTGTTGACTTGTTGGTGTGGGGGTGCACTAGACACCTTGACTGCCATTGTGCTATATGCTGGGTGTCCAGTGCGCTCCTGTACCTTTAAAAGGAGGGGTGGGCTCCCTCAGGTTCACCTGCCCTTAGAATATCCATCAATACATGTGCCTCTACTATGGGGGCTCTCAAAATTTGTATAGTTAGGAATTGCAGAATATCAGGGTGCCGTGAAGAGGCTGGAGGAGTTTGGCAATTACTTTGAAGAGCGGTGTTGCAAGTACTCTAGTTAGAATCTTTAAATCAGTGGTCAAAAACAAAATTGGGCAATATGATTTCACTTGGGTAGGATACTTCCCCGGCTTCAAACAAACTACCACAATGACCTCATACATGGAAGGCGGAAGACTGCTGAGCCTTAGCTGCCTGTATTGTGGTAAGTAGTTCGGAGAGGAGTATCTCTGCGCATGCTTTTTATACTCCTATCGGTAGTACATCACTACCTGGTGCATTAGAACTGGGGAATTAAGCCACTGCTGATTAAATTCCCCTATATCCTTAGAAGAAATATAGACACCTCCTGTTTGAAACTGAAAGACTTAGGAGATTAATGTCAGCTAGGAAATCAGCTTTTCCTTGGGGTAAGAGACTATAGAGGAATATAAGGATGCATAGAAAGAGCAAAAACTCAATGTAGAAACATAGGTTGATGGTTGTTGGGACTTGGCTATAAGTGTTAACAGGTGTCCGTTTTTTCCCCCTCCTCAAAGAAGGCTTGAGAGGAAAACAAATGTTTATTTTCAGCTTGTTGGATTTGTACAGTTTGGTAGAATTGTTGTGCTTCTGCCCATGTTTTTTCAGTTGTGGAGTTGGGGTGAGAGTATTTCTGTTCGGCTTTGTCAAGAGCTGCACTGGCATCTCCTGCCCACTATCTAGTATTGCTTTTAATTATGGAAATCTCTTGAATACACAAGCCTCTAAAATAAGCTTTCAGAGCACCCTTTAATATCAATGGGGAGGCCAAATGCCTATTATCAATTAAAAAGCCTCTCAGGAATGACTGTATTCGATCAGTGTTAATAAATAGGGGTATTCAGAAAGGGTTGAGCTTCCATAGTGTCAGCAATGGGGATGTAAGGATAGGGAAAAGAGAACTGGAGAGTGGTCCGATAGGCCTCTAGCCAAGTAAGTAACATTAGGGTTAAGGGCCATTGTGAACTCCATGCCCACGATAAGATCTATACAGGAGAGGGAGGAGTGAGTTTGGAAGTGGCAGGAAGATTGGGCCACTAACGGGTGTTTAGTTCACCAGAGATCTATGAGCCCCACCTCAGCTATGTGTTGGGCGAAAGGGGTTAATGCTCTAGGTCCCAGTAGGCAATATTGTTTATAGGGATCGAGGGATGTATCTAAAACATTGTTGAAATCGCCCACCACTATGACAGGGATTTGGAGATGGCTTACCATAAATTTAAATAGGCACCGCAGGACTTCAGTATTAAAAAAGGAGGGGGTATGTACACATTAGCCATTATACAGATATGCGGGTCCCAATCACACAAGAGAAATTAATCTGCCCTGAGGGTCAATCTCTGAGGAGAGAACTCTGAAAAGGAGCATTCCGGGAAATCAGGACACTCACCGCTCAGGAGTATTGGGTGTGTGTGAATGAAACTGTTCATTTATTAGCTCACCCTAAATTTCATGTACAGAGTCCCCAGTCAGGTGAATCTTTTGTAGGCATAGGACAGCAGGATTTTGATGACCAATGGTAGTAAAGATGGTGGTCCTGCTCTTTGCATGATGTAACCCTCTAACATTCCAGGAGAGGACAAAGTCCATGTGTGTATTCATAGGTATAGAGCAGGAATATAGATGACCTTTGGCATATGTAACACACACCAAAGATTAGGAGGAGGATCCTGGAAAAGAGTTCCTTGGGGGTGGAAGAGTGGAGAGGGCGTATCAAGCATCAAGGCAGCTACATGCCGCTGCATTAACAGCACAAAGGTGCTTAGTGGGCTGAACCATATGGACACTCGAAGGCAGCAAACAAATTCAAACATTTAACCGCAGAAACACAAAAAAAAGTCTAGTCCCATGCCAGAAAGTTGTGGAGTGGACTCAAAAACCTCCCTGCAGGATCAAAGGGGGGAAAGGGCTGCCGCCAACAGTGCCAGACAGTTGGCCATGCAAGCTTCCATATTAAGGAAGAGTAACTATTTGTGCTTTCATTCCAAGCTCCAACATATCCAAAGTGAGAAGCCATATTCCAGCAAATGTAGTGGTACCAAATAAGGGACCAATCAGGTGGAGGCTGGCTCAGGCTCTTGGCAAATCACTGAGAGGCGGAGCCAGGTGATGATCCAGGAGTGTCATCAGCCAACAGTGGACTTTATATCAATTATGATTAGGTAGGCGCTGTGCATCAGAAGAACAAATATCAAAACATCTCTATATATGACAAGTCCAATATCAATAAGTGTGGTTTTATAACCTCGCTGTCGGCTGAAAACAAGTCACAGGAGTGTGGACCAAACTCCAGTTCTGTGATCCCAGGAAGAAGTATAGCCAAAAAAGGTTTTGGCTATAATTCTCCTATAAAAGGCTGGTTGGCAGCATGAGAAGCCAGGGGACAGGAAAATCATGCAGCTGAGCTGGGGGTTTCACAATCCTCCCCCAACTGCTAGTTTGGACAAGGCCACGCAGCTGCTCAAGGCCATACACATGCCAGGGATGCCTTGCTTCATAAGCATGCCAAATATTTCAAGGTATGGCAGTACCACCATTTAACACAACCCATTCAAGAATGGGGCCATGCCACAACTGCCCTGCAATGTCATACAGTGTGGTATTTTAAGGGGTTAAAGAAGGCAGTGGAGAGCGACAGATCTCTTTCTCACAGCCTGTCAAATACCGTTTGAAAAGCAATTAACCATGGATTGCTTTTCAATAGAGTGGTTTTGTTAGTCATACATGTGACCACACCCTTAAAATAAGAGTTCTGACTTTGCATATATTTAATGGTTAACTATCTGGGAGTGCTAGACAGTTACAATTAGCTTGACTCGCACTAATTAGCATGTCTGACTGGGCTACTTTAGGTCATGCTGGAGGGCTCTACAGGTCAAGACTCTGGCACCTCTGCCTGATTCTGGAGTCTTTCAGAAGATTCTAGAAGCTAGTAGGCGGAGGGTTGGAGACCAAAATCTGCATATTCATGGAGGTCTGACCAATCCCAGGCAGGAAGCCTGGCAGTGTGGCAGACAGGCCCATGAAATATGAGAAAGCCTAAACAGCAGGGGATTCTTGTGATTGGGTGGAAGTTAGTGTTGAGGATTGTGAGGCCTGGGAGCAGGGGCTCTGCCTCCAGGTTGGAGCTGAAGGAGGAGAAAGGAGAGGAGGTTTAGACAGAGGGAACTGCATTACAAGTCCTATCCAGAGGGTACCTTGCTCAGCATGGAAGTCTAGCAGAGCTAAAGGCCTCAACAAGCAGTCTTAAGCAAAACCGCAGGATGCAAGGGATTGAGCGAGTACCTCTACATCCCCAGGGTCTACAAGGAAGAGGGATGCCAGGTGCAATACCCAGCAAGTTCTCTCTGGGACAGTGCTAAGGACTGTTCTGGAATCCCTTGCTCTGGGATACTTTTTGAGGCAGCCAGATGGGTGTGTAGTTTCCAGCTGGGGTCTGAAGAGATTCACTTAAGGGGGACTAAGTGCAAATTAACCTTGACAGTACACAAATATGCGGCTGGGCATGGACACTGAGAGGCTGCATATTTACATACCTAATGTATACAAATATGCACATAGAATGCGCGCGCGCTCCCAGCACAGTTACCGACGCCTCACAGAAAACCAGATTGCTACTTGCAATCGGGATCTTTCCAATCACGTGACCGCTGTGACAGCCAATACCAGCGGTCACATGACCCTAAACCCTTTCTTTCGGCATCAGAAGCCCCTTAAAGGGCCAGGATGCTCCAGTAAAAAAAAAAAAAAAAAAAAAAAAACTTTGTAACCAATTCATTAAGAGATAGAAAGCCACTCCAGAGGTAGTAAAGTCCAAGATCCATTTCTTTTTCATACAGAAAATAGGAAGTTTGTCCTCAGACTTGCTGTTTTCAAGTCAAGTTGGGCATCCCATATACCCCTAAACCCTATCCAAGTTGATTACCCTGAATAATAGAAAAAAAAAAAAAAAAAAAAAAAAAAAAAAAGGCCGATGGACTAGTTACGGACACTGAACAGAAGATGGAAAATGTGTGTTGCCTTGCTGTGCAGCTATAGGAAGACCCAAAAAATAGCGACTCCTTAGGGGGGTAACACTACCTAATACTTTAAAAAAATATATTAAACACATAGTTTCTCTAAACACTTTTCTTCTGATCTCCTTTATTCTTCAACTAAACACAAACAGAAGCTGGATGTTAGAACAATTCTAACTCCCAACACTACTGAACCCCATGGAAGAGCTGAGCTGCAGAAGACATTGTTGTCAAGCTGTGAGCACATGTCCTATACCTAGGGTTGCCACCTCATCCTTTAAACCCGAACACAATAATTACACAGGTTCTGGTGCTAATTTAATGCAGATAAGGCACTGAGTTTAATTACCACCGTAATCAGCCTCAGAACACGTGTACTTAACATGTGTTCGGTTTTAAAGGGATGAGGTGAGCAACTCTGGCCCAGTGTCCCTCCTGTGCATGACTTACCCTCGTCATTCTGAGCAGTCACGAGACCTACTGCCATAAGGAAAAACAAGGCTCCAAATTCCAGCTCCATGGCGAACAAACCCCGAGTACACAACAGACCAGATAATACAAGCCTACAGCTAACACTCATGGTTTACTGGGGGCAGCCATGTTTGTTTCCGTATTTTTTTAACCCCTAAATAAGCTTTATTGACAGACACAATCACATGGCTCTTGCTAGCCAATGACAGCCCAGCTGGAGTAGAATCACTTCCGCCAGCACTTTGCTGCTACGCATGCACGCTGTATGCAGTAAGGTGTGAGTGTCGTGCCGGGGCAGAGTGTGTATACGGAACGTACGTTGGTATAGAGGAAGGAGGAGAGGCAGCAGGAGACATGTCTATCTTCACCCCTACCAACCAAATTCGCTTGACCAATGTGGCGGTCGTGCGGATGAAGAAGGGAGGGAAGAGGTTCGAGATAGCCTGTTACAAGAACAAGGTTATGAGCTGGCGCAGTGGAGCGTAAGTATTCACCGGCCATGGGTGAAAGTGTGCTGAGGAGCCAATTAGGTGATTCTGTGCTCCTGTGGGCGGGGCTAGACAAGTAGGGAGGTGTAGTACACAAACCTGAAGGCACACATTCAACCAGAACTTATTTATTTCAGGTACTTGTATAGCGCTGTCAGTTTACGCAGCACTTTACATATACATTGTACATTCACATCAGTCCCTAACCCTCAAGGGGTGTACAACCTAAGGTCCCTAACTTACATTCATACATACACATATTAGGACCAATTTGGACAGGAATCAATTCACCTACCAGCATGTCTTTGGAGGGTGGGAGGAAACCCACGCAAGCACAGGAAGAACATGCAAACTCCATGCAGGAGGTGCCATGATCGGGAATCAAACCCATGACCCATTTACTGCAAGGCCGACGTGCTAACCATTAAGCCACTTAGAACTTCTAAAGTAGAACTGAATGCAGCAGTTTGGATGGAGTAAGAGAGGGTTATAATCCCTGTTACTTTTTTTCCCGCCATCTGTGTTTTCTTGGGGAGATTTCCCCAAACCAGAAAAAATCCCTCCAAAGGGTGGGAATCCCAGGGTGTCACCAGAACTAGTGTCCCCATTGGAAGATTTCCCCTCTCTTCCTGTTCTGGTGCCCGTTCACAATTTGTGATTTTTATTTTTCACTTTGGCTCAATTCTCACTTGCAGTCAGGGGTAGTAAAAATATGCAATTGAACCTCTTATTACAGCCCTTTTTAAAGTAGAGCTTCAGTCTTCTGCTAGAAAAATAAAAGTCCACTGCTACAAAAACTGTAGCGGCTGTTTAAAAAAAAAAAAAAAAAAAAAAAAAAAAAAAAAAGCCACTCACATGTCTCTCGATCCAGAGATGTGCTCACCTAAGCCAGGTTCACCAGCCGTCCGCTGTCCTCGGCTTCTTAAGTATGGGCACCCAGTTGTGACAGCTTGTGGCTTCACACCTTGGAGCCCACTGCACATGTGCAAGCAGAGCTGCCTTTTGTGAATAATCCTACAGTCTTCTGGGACTTGTCACGTATCCCAGAAGACTGCGTTGGGGAAGAACTACCGCTTCCGATCACCTAGGCCGCGGGTGTCAAACTGGTGGCCCTCCAGCTGTTGCAGAACTACAAGTCTCATGAGGCATTGCTAGGCTGACAGTTACAAGCATGACTCCAACGGGAAGATGCATGATGTCTTGTAGTTCCACAATAGCTAGAGGGCCATCAGTTTGATACCCCTGGCCTAGGTGGTCAGTGTGGGAGTGGGTACCTGTCAGAATCAAGTACTCACCCCCCCCCCCCAGGTGCTTAACGGGGTGCCGGGGTATTGTCCTTAAAGCAGAACTTTCCCTTTTGGGTGGAGCTCTGCTTTAAGCTGCAAGGGCAGAAGGGGTTGTACACATGTTGCTGCGGCTGCAATGTGCTGTGTCAAAAATTGTACACCCTGCCGCACCCAGCAGCAGTATTGCATTTAGGCTATTATATAAGCTTTTGCCAGAGTTTAGGAGCAGCAGCATTTACAGGCTGTCAAAATAAATCAAATACCCTCTTATTGTTGGGACTATTATAGGCTCAAGAAGATGTGTGTAAACTTTTGTAGGAAATATAACATGAAACACTTTATTGAAACAAAATATTAAAATACACATAAGATAAGAACATTGTGCTGCTACATGATACACACAGTGGATATGAAAAGTCTACACACCCTTGTCAGGTTTCTGTGATGTAAAAAATGAGACAAATATAAATCATTTCAGAACTTTTTCCACCTTTAACCTATAAACTGTATAACTCAGTTGAACAATAAACTGAAATTTTTTAGGGGGGGGAGTAAACATAAAAAAACTAAAATAATGTGGTTGCATAAGTGTGCACACCCTCTTGTAACTGGGGATGTAGCTGTGTTCAGAATTAAGCAATCACACTCAAAATCATGTTAAGTATTATTTTTATTATACAGGATTTATATAGCGCCGACAGTTTGCTCAGCGCTTTACAATATGGCTCAGCGCTTAACAATAAGTAGGAGTCAGTACACACCTGCCATCATTTAAAGTGCCTCTGATTAACCCCAAATAAAGTTCAACTGTTCTAGTAGGTCTTTCCTGACATTTTCTTAGTCACATCCTACAGCAAAAGTCATGCTCCACAGAGAGCTTCCAGTGCATCAGAGGGATCTCATTGTTAAAAGGTATCAGTCAGGAGAAAGGTACAAAAGAATTTCCAAGGCATTAGATATACCATGGAACACAGTGAAGACAGTCATCATCAAGTGGAGAAAATATGGTGCAGCAGTGACATTACCAAGAACTGAACATCCCTCCAAAACTCATGAAAAGGCGAGAAGAAAACTGGTCTGGGAGGCTGTCAAGAGGCCTACAACAACAGTAAAGGAGCTGCAGGAATATCTAGCAAGTACTGGCTGTGTGGTACATGTGACAACAATCTCCCGTACTCTTCATATGTCTGGGCTATGGGGTAGAGTGGCATAATGAAGCCTTTTCTTAGGAAGAAAAACATCCAAGCCCGGCTACATTTTGCAAAAACACATCTGAAGTCTCCCAAAAACATGTGGGAAAATGAGTTATGGTTTAATGAAACCAAGGTTGAACTTTTTGGCCATAATTCCAAAAGATATGTTTGGTGCAAAAACAACACTGCACGTCACCAAAAGAACGCCATTCCCTCCGTGAAGTATGGTGGTGGCAGCATCATGCTTTGGGGCTGTTTTTCTTCAACTAGAACTGGGGCCATAGTCAAGGTAGAGGGAATTATGAACAGTTTCAAATACCAGTCAATATTGGCACAAAACCTTCAGGCTTCTGTTTGAAAGCTGAACATGAAGAGGAACAATCCAAAGCATACATCCCAATCCACAAAGGAATGGCTTCACCAGAAGAAGATTAAAGTTTTGGAATGGCCCAGCCAGAGCCCAGACCTGAATCCGATCGATAATCTGTGGGGTGATCTGAAGAGGGCTGTGCACAGGAGATGCCCTGACAATATGACAGATTTGGAGTGTTCTTGCAAGGAAGAGTGGGCAAATATTGCCAAGTCAAGATGTGCCATGCTTAGACTCATACCCAAAAAGACTGAGTGCTGGAATCAAATCAAAAGGTGCTTCAACAAAGTATTAGTTAAAGGGTGTGCACACTTATGCAACCATATTATTTTAGTTTTTTATTTTTACTTCCCTCCACCTAAAAGATTTCAGTTTGTTTTTCAATTGAGTTGTACAGTTTATAGGTTACATTAAAAGTGGAAAAAGTTCTGAAATGATTGATCTTTCTAATTTTTTACATCACAGAAACCTGACATTTTAACAGGGGTGTGTAGACTTTCAATATCGACTGTAAGTGCCTATTCACATATACGGTTTGAACCACATTTAGTCCACATGATATGTGAAATAACATTACTTCCTATGGTGCCTGTTCACATATGTCCGGTGCACTGGCGGTATAGATTCAGTGCGGTTTGAAAAAGTAATGTATGATTTATGAGCAGTGCGTTCAGGTGCAGATTACAGGCTATTTGCCTCTATGGGAACTGTTTCTAAACCACATGTGAACAGGATAAAATTCTGACCTAATCCTGTCCTGAACCTGATGTAAACCTGTCATGAACCACTGAACAACTACTGTATCAATTATCTGTGAAACCTGAGCTTCAATCTGCACTGTATATGTGTGAATCTGCTCTTAAGAAGTCTCACAGTCATTGTAACAAGGAGCCTAAATAATGTGAACATGATGCAAAGCAGGCATTGACTCATTTCAAGACAGGGCTTTAAGCTTCTTCTTCAGAGGTGCTTTTATGCAGATTGAAGGTATCCTATAATGTAAATACAGCAGTGAATATACATGCCGGCACACAGAACATTATCTAACCTTCAGCATGACATTGAATACTAACCCATGTGTTAGACAATTATACAAAAACAGCTGCCTTTGTTTAAAACTAGATGTATACTGTCGCCCCCTCTGTAGCCACCACTAGCAGGATCAGTGGACACAAGAGCCACATCCTCTCAAGCTGCTGAGGCCACCGAAATGGACAGAGATGGTAGAATGTATCCCAGAAAATCAAGAAAAATAAAAATGGTGTGCCGCGCCCTTATATTAAACCTATATTAAGAATAATTAAAATAATAATTAAAAATATTAGCAATTAAATGAAAATATTAACATAAATTACTACAATATAAATCAAATCTTCAATTCATTAAATTGCACACGAAAAAAATAAATAAAAAAATATATATATATATATATCTATCAAAAATAAATATATCTATAACTAATAAAATGTCCAATACATATGAGAGTCCAATCACGGATTAAATCCCATCTAAATGGGGCTTATTAAAATTGCTGTAATGTACTATTCACATAATCCCGGATGGTAATACTCAAAAAGGTAAAGGGTTACTTGATGTGTTCCTCTATGGAAAACAGGCTGGATGATTCGCCTCTTTGCTCCTGCTGATCCTGCTATGGATAGATCGAGGGTGAGGTCTTCCCTCCAACAGATTTTATCTGCTTTCTCCCTATTACTCCACGTATTACCAGGAGGAAAAAGAGAGAGGAATAGTGCCTTATCCTTAGTTTAAAATATATGTTTTAGTGCAAATTTTGCACTTACAGATATTAAAATAATACAGCGCCTTTAGTGAATGTGATGTGTCCAGCCTAGAGACGGCGTGCGGACACACACTGCCTGTACTCGCCGTTCGTAGGAGTCGGGTACGTGTCGACGTCCGTGCCCCTCCCCAACGCGTTGCGCCACAGGGTCATGTGGCTTCCTCCGGGGGATGTGATTGCATTACTATTTATCCCAGAAAATGCTGTCAATAACCAAAAAGTACAACTATCAAAATATGCTTTATAAATGTAAACATCCCAGATGACTAGAAAAATATATAATACATGAAGAAAGTGAAAGCTTACACCGTATATTGCAGAGATGTAAATAAAGCTGGATATGG